CTAGAAACGTTGCGTCACTGTAGTCATGTGACATGCTGACGGAACAATATGTATTGAGAATAAACTTATTTAATTAAATTTTTAATGAATCAAAGCACTTCAATATCAGCAATATTAATAGAATATTAAAGTTTAAAATTTTCAATGAAATAAACATTGTTAACTTGAAAGCTATAATCTTTCCATTCCCAAATATAATTGTTCAAAATATATTATGTTGCAATGTTTCTTACTTTCATCTTATTAGATAAAATCATTACAAGATTTTTGGATAGAACTTGTAAACCCACCTTAATTTTTTTCATAATTGAGGTTTCTTGTTGTGCATTTTAAACACAAAATTGTTTCAGTGGCATAATTCAGTAAGGTGCAAGAAGGGTCATGCTCATCTTGCCCCAAGAAACTTTTTGAATCAGTTTTCAGTTTTGTATAAAAAATGCATTTTAAACACTGATTTTTAGTGCATTTTAATGCTTGCTGTAATTTGCTTTTTCTGCTTTTAATGTTTACAGTGATTTGAAGATTGAATCAATACACAATCTTGCCTGTGCAATGTAGAATTATGTAAAGTCCATGGAAACTTTCTGTGCCAACTGTTTTAGCTGCATCTCAGTAATTGAGAGTCTACTTGCAAATATATGTGTTTCTTGGCTGTAGGTTAAATACTGAAATTCCAAAAGTCATTGCAGAGATATATCAGTTTGGACAGGAAATTCAAATGTGTCCAATATTTTCTGTGATGTTTAATTTTATTGTAAATGTTATCTTTTATTTAATTAAAAAAATTACTAGATCATGGTCCCGAAGATTTGTACAGCTGTGGTATTTTATGTCTTATTTAAAGAGTTATTAGCTGTAACTCACAATTACTTAAATGTATACATATATATATATATATATATAATTCTATATTAGTATAGTTTATTCACTGTACTCTTAAATTAGTGTTTTACTACTATAATGGGGGCTGGAATACCAACCTCAGGGGGTAAGTTTATCTTACTTACCCCCAAGTGGTAGTACCTTATTTCATTTATTTATTGATTTTTCTTTCTTCTTCTTTTATATGTTTATTTTGGAGAGCAGTCACCTTCCCACAACTGTCTGCAGGCAGTGAAGGGTGATATAAAGTTGAGACATTTTGGGCTTGAGCACCCACACCTCACTCTCCTAACTTGTATTTCTTTTGATAATTTCTTCCTGTGAGACTGGTGAATGTAGGTTAAGGCTGATAGATGGTGTATCCCCACTGCAATGTGGTTCCTACTTCTGCAGTCATCTTGAAAAACCAGGGCACATTTTATATCTCACATAGCTTGTACCCTGGGGATACTTTTAATTTATGCTGCACCTTTAATTTAATTTTTTTTGGGCTTGTATTTGTTCATTTAAATGTCATTTATCACAGGTTTTGATTTGCTGTTATTAACACAGTCTTTCCTTTTGATTTGATTTTGCTTGACTGTTTAAATATTAATTTTCTATACATATATCTATATAAAATCAAAACCAGGATATTTAGCATTAAATCCAAGACTGTTTTTATCATTATTATGTAGGGCTGATATGATTCCCTGTATTGAATTGATGCAATTTGTAGTATTAAACTTATTTTTACATAAGCTTTTATATGAAATAAACATGCAGTAACTATTCATGTACTGAGTACAACTTTAAATATTAAACACTGATTTAAATTCAGTCTCTTTGCTGTTGATATTTCATTTTGTTTTTGAAAAAGAGGACATTTATGCTTTCATAAAATTCAGCTCCTAGCACTGAATAATTCACGCAGTGCTTTAGTTAGTGGAATTTTGGTGTTTTATTATATGTCAGGAGTTTGGTTTGGATGCTGAAAAGTATATTTTAGGAAGACCCCAATACCTCAGTACATATAGCCCATAAACATGAAAACAGGATTTGTTGTTTATGATTTCTGACAGACCCTGTTTTATTGCTGTAAACCAAACTTTATTCCAGTGTATTTGGCATGGGCATAAAATTTAACTTCCCTTTTGCATCCTTGTAGTTCACTTGTCATGACTACAAGAGTAAATCATGACCTTTATTAGACAGTCTCTACCGTAAGCATAGCAAGAAATCATATGTTCCTTGAAATATTTGGAATACATCACTACCATTCATAACACTTCTTAGACATCTCCTGA